CTCTTTTTTTAATTTTTTTAATATGTTCGTCTTCCAAAAATATCTCTCAATGAATAAAGAATAAATCTCAATGAATAAATAATAATACACATAAAATACTGTAATACATATATATAGCATTCTATAGTACTACATATTTTCTTCTCCTCTTGCCGTAATAATTATTCACCCTATGCTTAACGTATTTATTTCAATTAAGCAAGTCCAATATTTTTGCTATTTACTGAAAAAAGCTTAATTTGTATTTCAGGGTTGGATCGGCTAGTGCATGGTAAACACATCGATTTAAAGTTAAAGGTTACAGCCTGTATTTACAGTTTTATACGTGGTAGAACCATGCTGCAGTTATATTTGTGGTATAGTTGTAGCGCGAAGGAAGGACGACGCTCTCACAGAATACCAGCGTAAAATTGTAGCTTAATACTACTGTGTTTCGTATGATGAGTTGTAGAGAACCGGAGACCCTTTTTACTGGAAACGAAGCATCCCATCTGAGTCCTCACGGGTGACAACGCATCTGAATTTTGATTCGTAATTGAGAATAGATGTAGAACTCTATAGCCCACAGCAACCATTTACCATCAGGTAAACTGTGTACTCGTTTCCCGTCACCCCATCCTATAACAAAAATATACGTATGTATATATAAAAACTAAAATACAGCCGACTGTTAGTCCAAGGTACTTGTAATTATTCACAAATTGAATTCGAGGATTTTCAGTATTGACATTTCTCACTGCTGCTCCCAATTGCCGATCTTTTTTTTTAAATAATGGCGACAAACGAGCTCACAGCTCACCTGATAGTAAGTGTATGCTGTGGCCCATAGACATCTATATTTACCCTCGATTAAGAATCAAAATGCAGATGTTTTGTCACCCCTGATGACCAAGACGGAATACCTCGTTTCCAGTAAAAGGAGTCTCCGGTTATTTACATTCATCGTACGAAACGCTGCTATTTTAGGCTGGTATTCTATGAGAGTGGTTCTACCCCGGTCGAGTCGATCAATTCATTTTACAACCATAATATAACTGCAGCATGGCTCTACCATATCTGCCATAATAACTTTTTGGCTTACCCCATTTTCACGTTTTAAGATTCTACGCGACAAAATGGGGGTTACAGATTCCATTACTCCGCCTCCACCGCCAAAAGATAACTAAGGTATAAAGATCCTATTGTATACTTAGTTAAAGTTACAGTCTAGGGCAAGGAAATGTTCGCCACACTGCTCCAATACGTGTTGGTAGACTTCACATGTCTTCGAAATATATTTTCTTATTTCTCAGACATGCAGGGTTCCTCACGATGTTTCCTTTACCGTCGAGCACGTGATAAATCAGCACTTAAAATTGCAATGAACAATTTCGTTGGAACCAGTAGAGATCGAACCTAAGCTGCTCGCGTGCAGTGAAATTTACCGCGAGCTCTTAGCCCCTGAGTTAGCATGGCTATTTTGTATACTTTGGCAAATTAAAAAGTCATCCTAGTGAAGCATCAAAACAACATTTAAAATATTTCAAATGAGTTTGCTTATTGTTAGCGTAATTATGTATTTATGTATTATTATAGTAATAACCATAATTTTGTCAAATGCCTCTTGCGGTTTAATTTACGGGTGCCTATTTGTTTTGAAATTTCGTAAATACTATATTGACAATTATAAATAAAATATAAACCGAGATTTTTACGGATGTTTAATTGTATCGATGTATGTGTGTCACCCATGGTCACGGGAGGGGCTGAGGTGATGTCCCGATGTCCTCATAGTTAACCACGGTTACCCACAGATTAAATTATTAATTTTTGTGCCGATATACACAACTTATAGTATCTTGAAATCTTGCAGCTGTATGCTTGAGTTGTAATTTTTTTTAATTATAGGATCCCAAGCAGATGGTAGCACCGAGCCATCTTCTCTGTTGAAATTTGATGTTTTTTTGATGTCAATAATCTTGCAACATCTTGCTTTACATCGCCACACCATCTACTTGCTTGACAAGCAAGTACCATCTACTTGCTTGACAAGCAAGTAGATGGTGTGGCAATGGGCTCACCTGTATCTCCCATTGTCGCCGACATATTTATGGAAGACTTTGAGGAGAAAGTCCTGCTTACTTCTGCCATAAATCCAAGATTCTACAAGCGGTACGTAGACGACACTTTCACAATTCTATCTTTAGACAAAGTTACTATATTTTTAGACCATCTTAATTCCAAAAATTCTAAAATTCAGTTCACAATGAAGTTAGAGGCAAACAAATTTTTTAGCTTTTCTAGTTGTTTTAGTAATCCAGAATCCTGATAACATCTTGAGCCACACTGTGTATAGAAAAAAGACCCATACAGATAGACATTTAAACGGTGATTGTCACCATCATCCTCCACACTTAGCTATCGTGGGTAAATCTTTGATTCAGAGAGCACGAGGGATCTGTGACGGTAAACACCTGGCCGCCGAGCTCCAATACGTCAAGGAAGTTTTGCATGACAACAAGCTTCGGGTCCCGCACCTACGTTACAGTGAACGAGTGAAGCCGGACAAAATCGAGCGTGTACGTTCTGTACTGCCATTTGTCAGAGGAGTCACTGACAAGATTGGCTACATCTTGAAGCGCGCTTTCATTAAAACTTCAAGCCGCAGAAGAAGATTGGTCAGTTTTATAATTAGTCGAGTGTAATGTCTCGGAAACCCGGAAATGGTTAAACCACCGAAACGGGTATGTTTTTGATTCACAATTGGACCCGGTAGGTGGCGCCGTTGTCGAGATCCAAGAATCAACCGATGCCGGGTATTGCATACCAAATGTATATATATATATATATATATATATATATATATATATTATATATATATATATATTATACACACAAAACGAAATGCTAGCTGGGATTTCAATCAATTTTGGTGATAACGAAACCATGTAGGTACCTGAATCTGATAGTGATAAACATTGAGTTATACAACACTAGAGGAGCAAACCACATTACCGCGCGTCGAAAAAAGTGTAACCACTATCCAAACGCGAAGACGTAGCTTTGAAACTAATAACAATTTTAAGTAAACATATATCTATCTCACTTACACAAGTTGCGAAAAAAATATCGTCGCTAAGATTAGATAAAGATAGACACACAAACATGCAATGGCGGGTTGGTGTGGCTTACTATATGAAATTTTACCTAAAATACGCAATAAAAATGAGTTTTTTTAAGCTGCAGTTAATTGTTTTTATATTAAAAAGGTATATTTTATTTTAAAATCTTTATTACGTCACCTTAGAAAAAAAAGATACAAAGCTTATCAGATGAATAGAAGTAAACATAATGATGAAATAAAACGTATTTTTATGGTACTAATAAATCAAACAATATAAAATAGGTAGTAAAATATAATTAATATAAAATTTATATGAAATTATAAATAATATAAAATTATTAATAAAAAATATGTAATAAAATATATTTAATAGATAATTCATGAATAAACTAAAATAAGCATAATTAATTATTTTGTATGAAAGTTAAAACGTAGTTTTTATTATAATTCCCAAAATATTTAAAATCAGAGGTATCAAATTAACTTACTCCATTAATTATATAGTTTCCCATTAATGTAGGATAATCACAAATGCGGAAAAGTGGCAACATTGAACCTAAATGGCAATATTCGATAATTTTATTCAATTATTTGAGGTTTTTTACGTTTATATGGAAATAAGAACTAAAAATTAGTGTTGAAAGTGATTCCGCTTGATTTATTACGTTTTTGTAACATTGAATAGCATTCTTTCACTACGCATTTACCCATTTTTGTCGCGGCTCAACTCTGTCGGTGTCACATTGAACAATGAACACGCGTTAGCTAGGTATATGGCTGTGGCCATATGTGCAGTGGCAACGCTTTGGCGCGGTTATTACTGATCTAGTGTTATATAAATCAATGGTGATAAATATTTGGTGATATTGTTTTAAATTGTTGTGAGTTTTTTGATTTGGGGTTAGAAAAAAAAATACTGCATACTTTGTTATTTATTTTCTAAATATGGTTTAAACTTAACATCAAGAGTACCAGGATAGTATAAAATACCATGAGACTTCAACACCTCTCACTACACTGATATTTAATTTTACGGATTGATCAAAGTAAGAAGAAAGTGAGAGATACATAATTCTCCATGGATAGACGATAGGACTCTTTGTGTGCACCTAAGGGCAATTTAGGCCCACCACCTTTTCAACTATATATCTAACTCTAAAGGCACGACACTCATTACAATTTCCTCAACTCAGTTCAGCCTTATTACTTCTTCTTGTGTATGTTATTGTTAACGCATTGGAGAGATACGACAAGTCACGCAGAAAGTTTTGCCGAAAAGTGTCATTTTTTTGTATGAGTCATTTATATTTTGTGTTTAAAATAAGATTATTTGCAAGTAAAAATGAGATGTTCGGATTTGATTTTAAATTATATATTTATCATCATCGAAAAATGAATCTGCGTCGGAAATCTTTTCGGACGATGATTTTTACGATTTCAAATGTCACCCAAGATCGCACAATTGTTTTATAGCCTTCAAATGATATTTATGGATAAAAGCCCTTCTAAATCATCATAAATTCAAGTACTGTTTACTAGATTTCAGAGATTAATAAAGAAGTGGTCATCATTTGACGGTCGTAACGGAAAGAAACGGAATGAATCCTGGATTTATCAAATCGATTTAGAAAATATGCGTCAGTCAATAGTTTGGCTGTTTCAAAATGACCCAATGCTTACTTAAGTGAAGTGATCGAGAAACGCAGCTACTTTCACTAATTGCGGAAAACTTTCTGAGTAGCCCACGTAATTTTAATAGTAATTTCTATGAATTATTGTAAAAATTACTGGTTGTGCTATCTTTACTAAACTTATATATTAATAATAAATTAATAGTAAAGGAAATGCACGTATAATGCTTCGGGCAGGCTTTGAGTATTAATTTGTGTAAATGCAATCACGCAGTCAGCTGTAGAAAAGTAATTAATAATAATAAACAAAAGTTTAATTGTGATGAAGTCGTTGCTTGATCTGAAACAAATTTGAAAATTATTAATAACCATAAAGCAATGAATCGCTGGCTTACGGCATAGCAGTAACGTCCGAGCTCTGTGTCAATGACATTATTGTCTTGTAATGACGGTGTAAGGGCATATAATATTACCCCATTTCATTCTGTGTTAAAAATAATACTTAATATCTAGGAGGTATCATGAATACTAAAATATATTATACGTGGTAGAGCCACTCTGCAGCTATATGTGGTTGTAGCATGAATGGGTCGGCCCGACCGGGGAAGAAACACGCTCTCACGGAATACAAGCGTAAAATAGCAGCTTAATACTGCTGCTGTGTTTCTTATGGTGAGTGTCGAGATCCGAAGACCCTGATTTTACTGGAAACGAGGCATTCCATCACAGTCCTCAGGGGTGACAACGCATCTGCATTTTGATTCTTAATCGAGGATAAATGTAGTCGTAAATGTCTGGGCCACATCATGCACTTACCATCAGGTGGACTGTGTGCTCGTTTGTTACCATTATTCTATAAAAAAAAGATTATGTGAGTGTGATTCTTGATGTTCTCTGGCGACATAAACAGATAATAGGGTGGTAAAATAACTGGGCAGAAAATATGGCTTACCGTATCCTGAGAAGTTGTTCATGTTATTTCACTAATACTATTTTTATTTTACATACATTGAACGAAACTTTTCTAAAGGAATTATATTTATGTAATGCATACTTTAAGTATCTAACTAACCTTTATCATCATCGAATTGTAACTGACTTGTGTCACCAAACTCGGGAAAAGTTGGCGTTGACTGTTCTCCTAGTTTTGGTTGCTCCGTATTTGAATTAAGCTCAGGGATTTCATATCGTATCACCCTATGTTCTGTCTCTTTCTGGTATAATGGAGCTATCGTCGCTTGGCACTGTAATATTAGAAGGCAAATTATTTAAATTTATTTCTTTTCTTCATAGAGCGGATGTTCTTCATAGGTATATGGCAGGCAGGTTGCTAACCGCGTCTATGGGGGAGGCCTACAATCAGCAATAGCATTTTAATATGCTGTTATGAATGAATGGTGGAATTTTATGTATTATAATATATATTTTACATACGTATGTACATAGAACTTACTTTCAGATCCATAGTATTTAGTCTAAAGTGGTTTGATCCCACGATAAAGTTAAGTTCCAATATGGTTTCGATTGCATCGGGTCGTAGCGATGTTCTGTACCAGGGGCCGCGGAGATGATTTTTCGTAGCCACCCTATTATTAATGAGCCATTTTATTTGAGCCTCAGGCCGTGAACCTGATGATGTGCAGTTAGCTCTAACTCGGTCCCCTATGTTATATTTTTCTTGTAATCCTGTCAGCTGAGGTCCTGTTTCAGGGAGCACTGAAATGTAAGAAATACTAAAGTTAACTTAATATGAAGGTAAATAAATATTGTTACAAGCTAAGGGTTCGTGACAGTAAAAACTACCGATTGTATTACCAAAATTGACACTTTAATTACTGAACACCAATTAAAACTTAAATCACACTAATAATGAATCACACTTAACACTTAAGTTCAGTTTATTTCGCTCCAAAAGATTCCCTGATATCCCCGATTCAATACTGCCCCGGTCACGACCATAAACGGCTTTATATAGGCCTTTTCCGAAACATCTAGAATGTTCCAGCAAATAAGTTACGACAAGTTACACGCATCGAACGTTTAGTGGCATTGTAAGAACATCTACTTCTCCATATTATCGCGTAGGTGTCGTAAAAGGCGACAGAGGGAAATTAAACAGGACATGGGCAGAACATCTTTCTGATAAAATTCAAAATATTGATAAATATAAAAATGTGGTTGCTAACCCGCCTGCTAAGTGTGGAATTCCAATGAGGAATTCTATGTTGTAGAGGCCTATGTTCCTACTTACTTGCAAATCGTTATCTTATTGACAATGCAAGTTGTTGAATTGACTATAAAATAAAAGCAAAAGATTGATTGGTCTGAGGTGTAATGAACTATTTCAGTACTGAATACAATATATATTAATAATGTCTATCTATCTCAGTAAATATGATCTAATTTTTGAAAGAAGTATGTTACAAAGCTTGTATATGTGTTATTAGTTATTTACTCTCAGAAACTAGTTTTAGTAGGTACCTCAATTTAGTATTTTATCTGCGACTTTTTAGAATAAAGTATTTTAAAAGAAGCTAATGTTAAAATAATAATGCATGTAACACGAATTGAAACGTCATTTGAATGATATTATTATATGTTTTCAATGTTTTATTTTAACTATTCCCATACACTTAATATTTTATGGTAAACGTTTGTAGATGCGCCTGCTAAAAATAATAAGCAAAAATTACATTAGCTTACTTGTTGATTATTATTTTTCTCAAGCACATATTTTGATTTTTCGTAATAATGTGTATTTTTTTTTGCAGTATATGAATAACATTTAAAATAAATTCATAAAACACATAACACTATTATTCTCTACCAAGTAACCGTGCTTATTTTTAAAATTAGAATACATTTTACTTGCTAAGATCATTGACTTATATATTACTAGCATAAGGACCGGGCCGACCGAACAACTAAAACGGACCAGTGCGCTGGCCCTAAAATTACAGTTGGCCAACGCGAATCGGTCGACAGTGGTGCGCGTGCAGGACAGATTTGCCTGTCATAAATATGTCTAGTTGCGTGGTAAAAGAATGCAAAAATTACGATACAAAGATTTAAAAAAAAACATGGGATATCGTATCATCGGTAAATAGCCTTATATTAATTTCGTTACAATTAAAATATTATATAAACGCATTTTTAAAGTTTTATTTTACAGCTATTTTAGTTACGTTACCAAGATTAGACCAGGATTGGATTCGGACTCTCAAAAATATTGTAAATGGAAAGAAAAATTATACTATTTAAAAAAAATTATAATCACGTTTGACGTTTCATGTTTCTTTTTTCCCATATGCCGGAATTTTGGCGTCACGCGTCTAGTTTATCTATACGTTTCGTTTTTTGACGGTTTCATTTTTAATTCGGTTTTACTTTTGTCTAAAAAATTTAGAGTAAGTTAAATTTTTAATATTGGTACCTAATATACTTTATATTCAATAAGGGTAAAACGAAAAGAGTACAAAATAAACCGTATTTGCTTAATTGAATCTGAAAATATGATTCATAAAATATTTTAAAATTCTGTTTTCAAACCGTTTGCGTCTGGAGCATAGAGTTTTTATTGTGGTAGCCCCTCATTATAGTTGTATAAGGGATGCAACATAAATGCATCGATCGAGCACCGATTGAACAGAAAGGGAGCTAATTCTAATTTTATTCAAAAAAAAGGCGGTAGGTACTCATGTATAATACAGAAATTCTCGATATCGTAGGGTTAATATTAAAAAGTAAAGGACCCAATAATAATACAAGTCGATTTTTAGATAAAATTATGGTATTTTCGCTTAGTATTATTACGATACTATATACTACAAACTATGAAATGATGGTACAATTAGAATAATTATACTACAAAATCCGACCCTGGTTACGTCGTGTTGTGATATGACGTTTCTATTATGACAGATGCGCTACTTTTTCTTGTATGGAAAAGCTATGAGAAAAATGTTTAGATGGGCCTATCCTTCCTTTTGAAATCATTGGCTAAGATGTATTATTCAATTATGTATAATTATTTGCAAGGGTTCATTAAGATGCACCGTTAACACAATGTATCTAGGGACTAACAGATTTTTCTTTTTTCAATATTCATTTTGTCGAAAAACAAATTAACATTTTATTTTTTTTTAGCTGTTTATGGTAATATTTAATATCCCTTAAAAAGTTTAAGTATACAAAACATGACATGCAGTTTTCTTTATATTTTTAATTTAAAATTACATAGTACAATAAATTTTTGTCGTCATAAGGCATTCATATTGTTAAAGGTAAAAAACCTGCCTCAAATTTTCACAAACAAACAAATTGTTTTTTTGCGATTTTCCTAGTTTAGTATATTGAGAGAAACGGATGTAAATATATAGATCTTGAGTAAAATCTCTTACTTACAGTGTACCGTGATGTATTTCTCATCATACACCGTGGCGAAGTGTGGTGCTTCACCGGACACTTCGCAACGGTAAAGGCCGGAGGAGTCTCGACTTAAATGAATCAATGTCACCACCGTGTTTGATGATCGCCTGACCTGAGAATGTTCAGTATTTTTAACATTGACATATTGCGCTATGCAGTAAATATAAACTAACACGAGACAATAGGACACGCTTATGTACATAAACAAAAATAGGTATAGGTACTAAGATATTTTTATAAAAATTAAGTGACAAACAATCTCACTCTACCCAGGGGTAAGTCAGTGAACATCTGCAGCCAACTAAAACATAGAAGATTACAGATGCGTAGTCTCTAAGAACTAAGATGGAATGCCTCACAACTATTCTCTCAGTGATCGATAGATTCTTCGAATAAGATGTATCGATTTTATATATGGGGTTTTTCCTACGGTAAATAGATGCTGTGGTCTACATCTAATGTTTTTCAAGAATCATTATCCCTTTGATTTGAATATTCATATGCATCAGTGTAATTTACAAGCCTTATTTTGGTGTGTGTTATATCTATATAAATTTATTTTATTTAGTTATTTAACCCGCCATTAATTTCTCATTACGCCATGGGTTTAATGGCAGAGAATGCTAACTGGCATTAAGCCCGCCCTTCGTAACCTTTATGGTTAGTGCAATAAAGCTTTTAAATAAATAAATAAATATCCGGTACAAAAACACAGTTTGTAGCTTGATTTTTGTTCTAATTCTTGGAGGGCTTTGAAGCATTTGTTGAAAACTTAATATTAAAAAACAGGTTGATCAATCAAAGATATTTTGTCAAAGTCTAAAAATATCTTGCCTAAAATACCTCTTTTAGTTGAGCTGCCAATATTTCGCTCAATGACTGACGTATTCTAATGTTTGCCATAGTATATCAAATAAATAATTCTTATAGAACAGTAGTTCAGACTTCGGTGGGAATTCGATGCAATTGGGTACTGTTAAATGATGCAATAATACATAAATGACTATGGTGTCACTTGCCAAGTATTTAATTACATTGCTTGATCTCGAATATTTTCATTGTGAATAATGTTAATCTTCTATAGTTTGGTAGTATACTTAGGAGCTACTATTGATAGAAAGCTAACCTTTAAATATCATATAAACAATATTCTTAATTAAGCAGCACAGTACTTAAGATTTATTAAACATAATGCAGAGTTTTCTTCTAGGACTAAAATGGTTTCTATAACGCTTTTCTTAGAAGTCATCTCGAATTTTTCAGTTTCATCTGGAATCCATCTTTTAGTGTGCACTTCCAACGCATTGAAACTTTACAGCGTGCCTATACTCGACATCTTGCCTTTCATGTCAGTGGTATCTTACATTGGCAGCCTTAGAATCAACGACTGGCTAAGTTTAAATTGATATATAACTATTCGAAAGAGATGAGACATACTTGATCTGTGTTTTTTACATAAAACAATACACAAAACAAAGTGAAGTGTAGTGTCTTCTTGATCGCATATCGTTGGCTGTTCCGCATGAATATCCTCGTTGTCGTATTTCAAAAATATTTCATATTCCTTTTGCAAAAGTTCATCTCGCAACTATCGTGCGTATATGTTTCAAATATTACGCATTGTCTAAAACCACACTCAGCATCGACATATTTCACGACTTTTCTTCTTCGTATGTAGAGACGCCGCGAATAGGTGCTATAGCGAATAGTCTAATACCGATTAATCGCCATTACCTGTGGTGAATAGCCGAATAACTCGCCGATATTATTAGACATAAAAATAATATAAAATATAATTGAATTATCCAAAAGTGCACACTTCATATGTTTATTATGTTAAAAATTAATATTAAAAGTGATAAAAATAGTGACGATAATTTTAGGAGAAAAAACCCAGAGAATCTGATCAACTTTGATTAATAACTTTTAAACGGTGTTGAGTTCAATGACAAAAGTCAACAAGGATCCTCCTTAGAATGTATGGAATCTTATTTAATACGAGTACTATATATCTCAATCTATTGCTTACTTGGCCAATGTATGGCAGTCAATATATTTACATACACTTTTTGTTGTGTAATCTAAAGTGAATCAATTAAAAACTAAACTAGTCTATTAATTTTAATTATGTAATTAAAGTAATGTTAATAATATTATGGAATTGATGTCTACCTAAAAGTATAAGAACGATTTTATGTAGCGAAATTGAGGTATGGCCACGTATCGAGAGTAGAGCACTCAATCAAGTTGTGAGGCGTGCAAAATAATTTATTTGTTATCAAATAATAATATCACGTTAGTAGTAGTCTTGAACTTACCAATCATTTATTTGCTATTGCAATCTAAAAATTTTCGAAGGTGAAGTATGAGAAAATAAAAAATACATAGGTTATAACACAAAGGTTTTATCATTTTAGTAACGTGAAATGCTTCGACTTAGACTAAGGTAGAGCTCGTAGGTTTTCGCAGATAAAGACATATTTAGTTTCGAGGATTGCTCACAGTACACTGACCGAAGTAGACATAGTCCTGTGCTGGAATAGACTAAGCAATAAAGATCGATGTAGCTACAGGTCACCTACTTCAATAAAATAAATAAAATTATATAAATTAAATACAATCAGTCGAGGAAGATTATAATATATATATATATATATATATATATATATATATATATATATATATATCCGATGAGGAGGTGGAGGAAATGTATGAGGATATTTCCAAAGCCATACATTCCTCCAAAACCCACTACACGGTGTTGATGGGAGACTTCAACGCAAAACTAGGCACAAGAGAAAACGGTGAGCTGAAGTTAGGGAAATTTGGAGTAGGGCAACGGAACCGAAGGGGCCAGCAGCTGGCCGACTTTATGGAGAAAGAGGGACTCTTTATGATGAACTCTTTCTTCCAGAAGCGGCCCCACAGGAAGTGGACCTGGTCGAGCCCCGACGGTTCGACAAAAAATGAGATTGACTTCATTATGACGACCAGACGCCAACTGTTCAGTGATGTCTCAGTGATCGCAAGGGTGAAAACTGGCAGCGATCACCGAATGGTTAGAGGCACACTGAACCTAAACGTTAAGTCGGAGAGGTCTCGTCTAATGAAGTCAACGCTCCGTCCCCCTCGTGCTCTAATCCAAAATCCCGAAAACTTTCAGCTCGAGTTACACAACCGCTTTCAGTGCCTACAAGATTGCAATGCAGTGGACGATATGAATGACAAGCTCGTGGAAACTGTCCATGCGGTCGGAGCTAAGTTCTGCAAGACCCGCCGCAGAAGAACACAAAAACTCTCCGATCACACTCTTAATCTCATGGCTGTTAGACGGGAGATGAGGCTGCAATCGTGAACAGATTTGACAGCATACAGGCAACTGAACAGACAGATCTCCAAATGCATGCGGCGAGACTTACGCAACTTTAATACTGCTCGTATTAAAGAAGCGATCGAGCGGAACCAGGGCTCCAAAGTCTTTGCCAGAGATCTGTCTGCCCGTAAGAGCCAACTGTCAAGGCTGAAGACTGAGTGTGGCAGCATCGTTTCCGGGACACCTGAGATTTTGAGTGAGATTGAGAGGTTCTATGGGCAGCTGTACACATCATCGTTGGAGCCACACGCAAGTGTGAGTAACGATCCAAGAGCAAGTCTTATCCGACACTATTCCGATGATATCCCGGACGTCAGTCTAAGCGAGATTAGAATGGCTCTCCAGCACCTTAAAAACGGCAGGGCCCCAGGCGAGGATGGAATTACAGCGGAGCTTCTGAAAGCGGGTGGAACACCGGTACTTGAAGTCCTTCAGAAGCCCTTCAATTCCGTCCTCTATGGTGGCACTACTCCAGAGGCGTGGAGCAGAAGTGCGGTGGTCTTGTTCTTTAAGAAAGGCGACAACGCTCTCTTGAAGAACTACAGACCGATTTCCCTTTTGAGCCGCGTCTACGTGCTGTTTTCGAGAGTCATTACGAATCGTCTCGCACGCAGACTCGACGACTTCCAGCCTCCCGAACAAGCCGGTTTCCGAAAAGGCTTCAGTACCATAGACCACATACATACCCTGCGGCAGATTGTACAGAAGACTGAAGAGTACAATTTGCCACTTTGCCTGGCGTATGTGGACTATGAGAAAGCCTTTGATTCCGTCGAAATTTGGGCGGTGCTGCAGTCCCTTCAGCGGTGCCAAGTTGACTGTCGGTATATCGAAGTGCTGAAGTGTTTGTACAGTAGGGCTACGATGGCTATCCGAGTACAGAATCAGAGCTCGAAACCTATCCAACCGCAGAGAGGTGTAAGACAGGGTGACGTTATATCCCCGAAACTCTTCACCGCTGCTTTGGAAGACGTTTTCAAGCTACTGGACTGGAAAGGATACGGTATTAACATCAATGGCGAGTACATCACTCACCTTCGATTTGCCGACGATATAGTCCTTATGGCAGAATCGCTGGAGGACTTAAGCACTATGCTCAATGACCTCAATAGTGCCTCCCAAGGGATAGGTCTTAAGATGAACATGGACAAAACAAAGATCATGTTTAATGTCCATGTCACACCTATGCCGGTAGTTGTTGGGAGCACTATGCTCGAAGTTGTTGACGAGTACGTTTACCTGGGACAAATATTCCGACTAGGTAAGTCCAACTTCGACCGAGAGGTCAATCGACGGATTCAACTCGGTTGGGCAGCGTTCGGGAAATTACGACATATCTTCTCGTCAGGTATACCTCAATCTCTGAAAACTAAAGTGTACAACCAGTGCGTGTTGCCAGTGATGACTTACGGATCAGAGACGTGGTCCTTCACTGCTGGCCGTATGAGGACGCTCAAGGTCGCTCAGCGAGCTATGGAGAGGGCTATGCTCGGAGTTTCTCTGCGTGATAGACTCAGAAATGAGGACATCCGCAGTAAAACCAGAGTGACCGACATAGCCCAACGGATTAGTAAGCTGAAGTGGCAATGGGCCGGTCATATAGCTCGAAGAACCGATAACCGATGGGGAAGAAAGGTTCTCGAGTGGCAGCCTCGTACTGGTAGGCGTAGTGTAGGGCGACCCCCCACTAGATGGAGTGACGACCTGGTAAGATATGCAGGAAGTCGATGGATGCAGGTGGCTCAGGACCGTGCTTTGTGGCATTACTTGGGGGAGGCCTATGTGCAGCAGTGGACATGTGAAGGGCTGTGATGATGATGATGTATATATATATATATATATATATATATATATATATATATATATATATATATATATATATATATATATATATATATATATATATGGGATATTGAAAACGTAAATCACAAGAATCGTAATGCACGTAATGCTGAACTAGCAGCATTTGCTCAGAAATTTCTTCAGAGTTCTAGATATAGTTGAAGTTCTAGTTCTGTGAAGTTCTGTTTCTAGTATCGTCCAAGCAGGAATAGCATAACGCATTGTTATATTTTGCCTTTATATAGAAGAACCAACTTTATCTAACAAATAATAAAACAGGGTTCTGTTCACACGAAAAATGCTCTTAAAGTTATCTCCCTTTTCTGTTTGTAATTCTACACAAAGATTATTAGATGCTCCGAGAAACCTTCCTTCTTACTATAGGTACATTTTTTGATCCAACACCTTTTTTTACAATGTTATATCAATATTTATTGCCTTAGAAAAGCAGCAACGATCAACACAAATTCTGCACTCATGGCTTCAAATGAAGAGAAAATCCAATTGAATACAAGAATTGCATAAGAAATTATTGGACGAGTATGTCCTGTTTATACCACAATATTTAAGCGCATTCTGTATAATTAGATGCAAAAGGCAATGGGTGTTTAAAAATATTAAGATGTCGGTCGACATTACTACAAAACAATGGTGATACTCACGTATGATGTACGCACTTTATTAAATTACATTTACAATAAAGAATTTCACGGTATGAATTACGTGAAATGCCTTCATATTATTCAGACATTAGGGCCAAGACACACTTGATAACATTAGAATCGAACGTTTTACCATATGTACCCAAGAATCCGAGTATGAAGTATCAAGTGGCCATTGCAAATTTTAATATGGTTAGGGCACGAATGGTTCGGTTCAGCCGCGACCACGCTCTCACAAAATACCATTGTGAAATAGTAGCTTAATGCTACTGCGTGTTGTACGGTGACTGTAGAGATCCATTTTTACTGGAAAAGTGGCATTCCATTTTAGTCCTTTGGGATTTCGACGCATCTATATTTTGATTCATAATCGAGGAAACATTAAATGGACTTGTGCTCGGTTGCGTTGTTCTATAAAAAAAACTTATCACTGACGAATTGTCTTGTCATTGTCTCTTTTATCACATAGGAGTTTTATTGTATATTGTAACCAATAAAATAATTTTTTTATTCATAGTAAACTAAGAAATATTAATTTTATAAGCCAAGTAGACCAAGTTTATATCGCAACGGCACCACTGAAATTATTAAACTGTATTTTAAAGTGTTACTAACTGCTGCGAAGTAAAGGAAAGTATCTAATAGAAAAAAGTTCCTTATCTATTAAAATCCAGTGCTTGACTTTACTAAACAACTTTAAAGTACCTGTATTTTTTTCTTTTTTTTCTTTTAAAATTTCCACCGAAGTTTATAAAGCGCAACTTCGTAGCAAAACAAAAGCCTAGTTTTTGTATAATAAGGTTGACAAACGAGCATACAGTCCACCTGTTGGTAAGTAGATAGTGGAAGTAGATGCTGTGGTTCATAGACATCTACATTTATCCTCGATTAAGAATAAAAATGCAGATGCGTTTTCACCCCTGAAGACTAAGATGGAATGCCTTGTTTCCAGTAAAAAGCGTCTTCGGTTTCACTACACTCATTTTACGAAATACAGCAGAATTAATCTGCTATTTTACGCTGATACTCTGTAGAGCACGGTTCTACCCCGGTCGAGCTGACCCATTCGTGTTACAACGGTAATATAGTTGCAGCGTGGTTATATCACGTTTAAATGACTAAGTATCCGGATGACCTTCGCTCGGTATTTTTTGGAAACTGCATTTAGATAAAAATTACATACTGATGAATAATATTTTTTGATCTTATTGACATAATAGAAAAAACTGAACTGGTTATTTGAATAAAAAATCATGAGTGCAATTAGTTTAATAAAAATTTTCGTATTTTAAAAAATACTAAAAAAAGGGCTCGAAATAATAGATTTTCTCAGAAAAGAAAGAAACTTGAAAAGAAAGGAAAAAATATCGGACCGAAGGCAGAACGCAAACCTAGTCATTACGATTTCGCGACCGCTCGATATCCACTTGATCTATTACGATCACTAGCACAGTGTCAAAATTTACCTTCTTATATTGTAGCAGTTTTTCTTTGCCTGAAAACACGGACAAAAAGACATTTTCTAAAAATAAATCCTAGCTAGACCGATATATTGCCTTCGAAACTCCCCCGGACACTAAATTTTATGAAAATCGTTGGAGCCGTTTCCGAGATTCCGATTATATATATATTTATATATATATATATATATATATATATATATATAGGTTATAATATTTTGTTTACTCTTGAATGAGGGTTTATTCGGCGAGGGGGCGTATATATAAGCTGTACTTCAATTTTTTAATCCAATATAGCCTATAAAAGTCTCTGTTGAATATAGGCCTCCCTCATAGATTGCCTAATGAGGCGAATTTTGCCATAGCTGCCACGCTTGGCAAGAGGGTTGGCAACCGCAGTTTTTTTATTTTCATTTTTTAACAGGAAGATGTTGCTGCCCATCTTTTATTTCATTTTCCCCCTGTTGCCTGTTACGTCATCCTCGAGTCGATATGGGGTATTAGATATTCTATTACCCTATATCGACCCGCCACTACATGGATATTAATTGCGTAATAATTATTTCATTTAAAAAATTAATTTGTATTGAAAATGAGTTGCAACCTACATACATCAACCATAACTCCTGGTGTTGCAAAGTGACTGATAGGGTGTTTACTATTTGGTATGTAGCGGTAGAATTCCCTTCCATCTTTGTACCACTTGACAGAATATAGTACATCGCCTTCCATGTCATACTGGCACCCTAATATCGCTTCACCTCCTTCTGCAACGTGGGCAGGTACGCGTAGTTCTAGGATACGCACACTGTTTACAGGATCTGTAAAAACAATTTTTAAGTATAACTTGAATTTGTTCCTAATGGAATATAGCAAAATCATACATTTTTGGTATCACCTCCATGTCTGTCTGTCGTCCCCTAATGTTTCAGTCAGTTATTGATTGCGGTAACCAAAATACAACTATGGGATAAAAATAGAATTTGCAACTTATGGGGCTTTATTATTGTCCTGTGGCGTCATTTATCCACTTTAAAAACATATACTTAAATACTTTACGTTTAACTTTATTTTTAAGTAAAAATGCTTCAATATTTCTGTCCCTTATCGTATATGTTAAATAATAATAAGCAAAAAAAAAACAGCACGCAGTTAACTGTTTGTTATTAAGTTCGATGAGTGCCGACTAAAGAAAACGCTAAGTGTATTTAAGTGCTCGCCATAAGTTTCACAGTATGTGAACAACTCGGGCTTGATTAATTTTAAGTGCTGAATCACCATTGCTCGTTGCGAGGGAAAATGTGAGGAAACCTGTAAGTATAAGAAATTAAAAAATCGAACACATGTAGTGAAGTCCGCCAACACAGGGGCAGCGTGTCAGACATATCCTTGCTTTAGAACCCTGTTAGAAATGAGGAGGCCTGTGCTCAGCCGTGAGATGTATATGCGTTGTTACTTTCTTTTTTATCAGGTCCTAATGTCAAGTTAAAACGAAAATATGTTACTCAAAACTGATACAATATCTGAAATCACTGACAAATTAAAAAAATGATGTGTAATTTTTCAGAAAATACTGTGGATAAAACTATTATTTTCACCAATTTATCTTACTTAATTTATTACAATAATAACTTAATATGTTAGAACTGACTGCCTCGACTGTCTAGTTGGTCTAGTGGTTGTAGTTGTGCAGCTGCTGATCATGAGGTCCTGGATTCGAACCCCGGGTCAAGAAAATTCTCAGTAGCTGGCAAGAGTTAGGAAATTGGTGGTGTCTCACCTCCGTGCCTCAGATAGCACGTAAAGCTGTTGGTCCTGCGCCTAATCTCCCTCCAGTCGTGCCGGCTTACCGTCGAGGGTGAGGGAATAACGAGTGCACCTGTGCTTGCCCATACACTTGGGCACTATAATCCTGACCTGCCCGATGGGTAGTATCCTTTGAGGCTGACCGCCGTGACCAAATTCAGTCTGGAGGACATTATTGTTATTATGTTAGAACATTTTTAACACTAGCTTTTATATTTAAGAATATAAGAGCTTTTAGGTATATAGCTTTTTATTATTTTTCTACAAATATTTTAAAAGTATGTACTATAAAACTCCGCGCTTGGATCAATTCAAACTAGACCGCCACTAGGCTTTCCAGAGAGAGGTCACGTTGCTCGGCGCTCTGCCTGATGTTTGCCATGCATACGAGCAGGGCTAAATTCAGATCCTCAAAAACATTGCACATGGAAAATAAAATTATACTATTTGTCTAAAATTATAACACGTTTGACGTTTCATGTTTTTATGTGCTGGAGTTTTGGCGTCACGCGTCTGGTGGATGTATCTATACGTTTCTTTTTTCGGCGTTTTTGTTTTGAATTGAAGTTGCAATTATATGAAGTTGACGCCTCCACTGTGTTTGTATACTATGTAGTCATGAATTGACCGACCGAATCACACGAGTTTTAACCTTCCAGGGGAAAAATAATATTTTTACTGGTATCCCAACCTATATAAACTCCCACTTGCAACACTAGACACCTCATGTGATTGAGAATTTATATCCACTAGAATTATGAAAAATAATTAAAATGCAAGCAAGCCCTTAGGGTGGGTAATAATATACAGCAGGGTAGGGTTGTACACAGAGGAGTCAATGTAATTTTGATCGAAGGACACTTACAGGTAAGTTACTTTGATCAAATAACTATATTCGTTGACGCCTCCTCTGTGTTTGTATACTATGTAGAGGTTTAAAAATTATCATAACTAACAATTAACAACAAAATAAACAATAATCATAATATATAAATTTAGATAATATAATTTCCCATTATGAATTATTGTTTATTTTAATATACTTTTCAAAAGCTCTTAATTAATAATGGCCTCTTATAACAAACGGAAAAGTTTTGGATGTAAGATTGTTGTCTTTCTAACACTTATCATAACAATATCATCAATACCACTTCTTCTAGGACGAGAAGGGGATGAATGCCTGGTACTACGTACTACTGTAAAAAGTAATGTATTTTCTTGTTAAAATACTTTACTTAACTAACTGTTTGATTTATTGCCAGGATATTAAGCAGTTATCAAAATTAACAACTAATTTACTAAATTTCATACAGTTTAAGTGACATACAAGTGATATTGTGAGGTAACTGATATAAGTGGCAAAATTAAAAACTTTGCACAACCGATTTTAATATAAACAAAATAAGAAGATCATCAATGCATTCAAAGTTAATCAAATACGCATTATTAAGGACAACTCAAAAACTACTGGTCAGATCCCCATTAAATCTACATGAGATCACACTTGAAGCACCAGCTTTCAAATAAAAATAAAGACTCATCAAAATCGGCTCACCCAGAGAAAAGCTATGAGTCAATACAAATAAAAACATACAGTCGAAATGAACACCTCCTTCTTCTTAAGGTCGATTAAAATACTCATATTTTCTCTTACTACTGTATATTTCTTTGCTTTTCTTTTTGATGAAATTCAGCTTTATGAACCAAATTATGTTCGACTTCAGCTTTGACTGTATTCTAGTTTTTATTTTTCTTCCTATAAACACCAGAAAAGAACCGTTTAACTTCACAGTATGAGCCTAAATCATAATAGGAAGAACAATAAGTAAATTTCTTACTACTACTAGACAAGGGCTTATTTTTATGCTTTACATACATAAATACCTCTTTGACAGCAATGCCACAGCAAGGTAAGTTTAGATCAAAGGAGATCTACTTACTAGATTAAAGAAAAAAAATACATACGAATATTCAGGTGAAATAGAATCCAATGCCTCATGTAACCCCTCGTGGCACCGCAAGGCAGATATGTAATGTATAGACTCGTTCTGTCTCAAACATAGATTTTATATTGCGTTTTTATTAGACTGTGAGCAATAATATTATATACATTTTGGTATTAAATATACAATATACGTTTTAATATTCATATAAAATTCAATTCAATGCCTCGTGTACCCCCCTCGTGGCACCGCAAGGCAGATATGTAATGTACAGACTCTCCTTCTGTCTCATACATAGATTTATATTGCGTTTTATTACGCTATAATCAATGATATTATATACACTTTGGTAGTAAATATGAACGTATGAATATTGATATAAAATGAAATTGATTGCCTCGTGTACCCCTTCGTACAAAGATTTATATTGCATTTTCGTTACGCTATAAAAATGGTATTATTATATATACTTTGAAGGGAAATATGAATGTATGAATATTTATATAAAAAGTAGAATTCAATGTCTAGTATCGTGGTACTATGTGTATCATGGCACCGCAAGACAGATAATATGTAATGCACCGACTTTTGCTCTATCTCATACATTGATTTTATATTTCTATTTTATTAATCTACCCGACAGGTTTAAAAAATACTTATGCAATATACCTATTCAATACATAAATACAATAAACATATTAAGTTTATTGAAACATTATGTACTTACAGATGCTCGTTCTGTTTAAAATATAGATTTCACATTTCGTGTTATAGTTAATCTACTCTACAAGTTATTTGCAAAAATTACATAAATTGCAATCATCCAAAACGTTTATTATTGTTAAGTAAGTAAGTTTTCACATGTTGCTAATAATAAAATTAAGAACTTTCACTTAAAAACCAATTTTAAACTTTTTAATTTGAAGATGCGACTCGCTGATTCGGCACAAAAAATTCACATGACATGCGGTGTATAGTGTTACCAGTGGAAGTTCATATAGGTTGGGATACCAGTAAAAATATTATTTTTCTCACGGAAGGTTAAAACTCGTTTGATTCGGTTTGTCAATTCATCAATTCATGACTATATAGTATACAAACACAGACGAGGCGTCAACGAATATAATTGGATTACGATATTCTTTCTCGCACTCATTCATAACAGTATACATTTACCTGATTATTTTTGATTTTTTGTTAAACTTTGTCCAGTAAAATACTATGTATTGACATTTTTTTATTAGTGACATGATTAGTTTATTTTTATTTAGGTATAGTATTATACTTGTTATTAATTTTTGTTTTAATTTACTCTATTTTCATCATATTATGTTAATGCATCTCTAATTACGAATTCCAGTGAAAATTATTTAAACTTAAATAAAATGATTTCTTACTCACGCATATACCAATCAATCGGTAAATGTACGGTAATACAAACTTAAGCCCATACGTACATTGCCGCGTGCCGACGTCGTCTACAAAATTATTTTGTAAAAATGCTGAACCCTACTCTCAAATTCAAAAATAACAAGACCATTATTGTCATGCCAGATATTTCACGCGATTACAAAGTTTCTCGCCAAGTAACTTTACTCAATACTTGTAAAATTGATTATACTTCAAGTATTAACAAAAAACACAAAGAATGAAAAACGAAGCGCTGCGTACATTTCAAATGATGCAAAACCAAGCCAAAACCACGCATGCCTTATAGTAAGAAAATGCACTGATGTACATGCATGCATTTAAAATAATTTGTAACCATTCACTTCGGAGTTTGCCCAGTACGCCTCAACCACCACACCATGATGATGCAGACCCCATTGAATTTTTAACCACCAGTGAAATTAGAATTTGGATGACCTCTCAAACAGTGCCTTGATGAAGTTTGCCATATTGCCCAGGAGGGAAAACTAAACTCTGAACAAAAGCTGGTAATCAAATCCCTATCGCGCAAGGTCGGCAAGAGTAATGCAGCCTCGCAGATGGCAACATACTACCAATCATTGTAGCAAAAGGCTATTTAATGCATACGTCCCTTGAAGCACTGAGAGAAAAACATGACTTTA